TCATGGCCGACGCTTGCGCAGTTCCTCGCGTAATTCGAGGAGAGTTCAAGGTCAATTAAGGCGGGCGAGGAAAATATGAACGTAAACACGCCGATTGTTATATGGTTTAATCCTGTTCAGGTGTTATCTCGTCCCATCACACGTGGTTTGGCGGACTGGCGTCGGCCATGATGAGTATTGTCGCCAATGGAACGACTCCTCTAACAAAATGTTCACCTGTACCGTAGTATCGTTTTCGAAGCGGGAAGCTCAAAAAACCGCAAAAATCTTACGCAGATTGTGAAGTTATGAGTGCATTTCAGACTTTGCCGATGCGCTCATCGTGATTTTTGAGGCATTATCTGCAGGAAACAACTCTTAGTTTTGCTCTAGCAAAAGTTTGCAACAGGCCCATTGTTCCGTCAGATGGCAGCAGCGCAACGGCGAGCTTTGCGGCGGCGGCGTAGCGGCACGCACTGACTGTAATGTTTCATGCTTTGAACAACTAAATACTCATAATGAGAGCAATTAACCGGCAGCGGGCACCTCATTCCTCATTCTTGGTTTTCTCGACTTGGCTCCCGGCGTCAGGCCTTTGGGGCCCGACTTTGCGCTGAGTAATGCGAAAGATTGAAGAGCCTCGACTGCGAACAATGAGAAACCCTACGGCGCTTGTTGTTTGGTCAGCCTAGATACTACTTTGGAGGACTTGCGTGGAAATGGGTGCTCTTCTTTGACAGTGGTGCATAAACCCGGGCTTGTGATAAATGATTAATTTTTTCCATCTTTATTTCGACTGAATGTTGCAATGCGGAGCTACAATTTCAGGCTCATACTGCCGTGCGAAGGAAAAACGCCGTATGAACCTACAGGCGTTGCCAAATGAACCGCGTTAAACAGAAAGGAACCAATTCACGTCAACTATTGCCAAATTTAACAGGGAGATTTCATTTTTTACGAAAGAACGTCTGCGCCAATTCCTTTGAAAATTTTAAGGAATTTGCTTTGGATTATGGAGAAAATTCACTGAAATTTGCACAAAAATCCGCACAACCATTTTCATGTAAAAAATTAAATTGCCCGATTAAATTTGGCAATAGCTGATGTGGCTTGGTCTGTTTAACTCGGTATAAATATCCTTGGACAAAACACGATTTTCTTGGTAAACATGACTATATTTTTCTTCCAATTTTTCAGATATTTTTTGTTCGCAATTTCACCTAAAGTTCCTGAAAATTTCAAGGAAAAATATTCATAGATTTCCACTGAAATTAGTATTTTATCGAAGGAAATTTGGCAACGCTCGAATGTTCATACGGCGTTCTTCCTTAGCACGGCAGCATACATATAAACACCTATTTACAGTTGTTAATAAAGTTACCCTAAAAATTGAAACATGCTCGGACATTTTTCAAGGTATATTGATACCTACATATTGAAATGCGCATTTTTCTACCGAGGCTCATCCATTTAATTATTTCATATTATGACTGAGAGAAGTCTAAAGGTTGAATTTGAAGAAACCCTTAAAAAAATCTGCGAATGATGTTCCAGTGCACATCAGCATCTTCGTAAAATGCCAATTTGCGATTGGAAATGTTGCAGCATTGAAACGTGGTTTTATCTTTCGGTTAGGGAGCGACGAATCGTCTCCTCAAAAGCACTCTTTAGAACGGCNCCCCCCCCCCCCAAAAAGAAAAAAAAATCATCAACGTCCACTGCGTTTGCAAGAAATGGCAATCGAGGTTGCGCAATTTTAGCAGCGGTGCAATGCTGGTACGCACTTATTGCAAATAACTCCTAGATTATGGAGCAGCTCTCTCTGAATATCCAGATTTCACTTTAATATATTTTTAAGCGCGTGATTCGTATCCAATAAAGCAAGTTGACTGCTGACTCGGCCGTTTTCTGACTCCCTTCTATTAAAGCCTTTCGAGACCGCCGGACAGTCTGACAGAACTCGGAACCGATTTCGCTCCCCTGGCTCTCGATTACCATTGTCTGCCCCCCCGCCCCCCTCGCCCCCCTACCTCACCAACTCACAAAACCACAGGGGAGCTAACGTCTATTGATGTCGCCGAGGTCAGCATCCATTGTATTTTTTTCACACCTCCACTTGTTCCTCTGAGACAGTGGTGCCGTATTTGATACGCTGAGGGAAGAGTTGGGTATCTTAAACTGCATCGAGTGGCAGGGGGTGTTTTCTCAAGGGAATGGCGTAATTTAAAAAAAAAATCGAAAAAAAAAGGCAAAAGTTTGAATGCAAGAATCTGCATCATATGAGTTGAAATCAGTGTTCGAAACTCACCTTGGAGTTTCAGGAGCCACGTGGAGCATCAAGCTAGATTTTTAGGGGCCATTGAAAATGTGTTAGGCGGCACCGGCCCCTTTCATGGGGGGGGCATTTCGGCGACCTTCATATGGGGGCACTGTAGCGAATTTTTCCCCTCATCCAAAAAAACAAAACAAAAAAAAACAAAAAAAAATTAAATGCCATACGTCACTCGTCTCAGTCACGGCTTTCAGCTCTTTCACCTTTTTGAGAAAAATTGGTAAAGCCTGAAACACAAGCTGCTGAATCCTTCGTCGATTTGTAATTTCATTTTTGAGGAAAAAAGCAGCTAGGGAGGAAAATGTTGAACTCTCTCTTGCTTTTAGTTGGACTGCATTCTGCAATTTCGAACAATGGAATTGCAATTCTGGCTCATCTGAAAAAACACTTATGAGCACAGGGAAACTAATGGCGCATACGTTGTTTTTAAACCTAGCCAGAATTTATAGTTCTTAATTGCGAAATGTAGTCCAGTTGAGACCCCATCCATGCGCTTCACTTATTTTTATGTGCCACGCATTTCCATGAAAGCAATATGTAGAAAAAAGAAGCTCGCTCGCTGGGAGTAAAGAAAATGATCGCGGGAAATCTTCTTGAACATCTGTGACTGAGATAAAGAACAGAAGCTCTCTGCAGACTCTCGAACGCACGCCCATTTATTCCGGGACCTTGTTAACTACCCTGGCAGTGAATCCTGGGTTCTCATCTCAGTACATCTTCGCGCAAGGCAGTTTCCTCGAATAAAATTAACACACCCACCTTCTGCTGCGTTTAAGTGAGCTCTTTTGACGCAATGTTGCCGCATGATTTAAAAAATATACATACTTTTGATGAGCCAGCGGCGGCTGTTTGGATAGTCTAAATTGCTTTCCGCAGCAAGGAAGTAGGGCCCTCTTTGCATTTTTACCCATCTATTTGAACTGCATTTTGCAATTAGGAATTACTGTTTCTGACTCAAACATGAAAGCACTTGTCAACATACGGTGGCCAACGGCATATCCGTTGTTTCTAAAATGAGCCGAAACTGTAATCCCTCATTGCAAAGGGTGGCTCATTTAGTGGTTACTCAAACATGCGCAAGAATACTAAGTATATTTATTATTTTAAATACAGCATTCTCTAAATGTTTAAATTTTAAACCTAAGCCTTTAAATCGCCGTAACACAACAACAACAATGGACCACTAGACAAGGCACGAATTCAAGCATTCTAATGCACGTTTCTTAACCAGAATTTCACGTAGAACAAGATTCGCGCAACGAAAATTACTGAAACCAACTGCTAACGAAGATATTAACGTTCTTATTTTACATTGGTTTCAAGGAACTTGAACTGCCCGCTCACAAGAAACTCAAAGCTTTACGTTAGTCAAATCGCGCACTACAACGGTTTCGGCGATCTTCTCAATCGCGCACTGTTCATTTCCCACCATGAATTGTTCAAACATTAAGCACTTTGCTACAGCTGAGCCAAAGCGTCAAGATTGAGGTTGCCAGATTTTTATATCGCAGAGACTGTCATGATAAACGTTTAGCGCGCGATGTGAATCAAGTAGAGCATTGAGTTTTCATGAGCGGGTGGTTTGAATGCACGCATCAAGAATCATTAAATATCTTTGTGAGGAGTTGATTTCGGTAATTTTCGTTGTCCACATCGTGTTTTACGTGGAATTTTGGGTAAGGAACATGTATCAGAATGCTTATCTAGTGGTCCATTTTACGAAACAACGACGTGAATTTTTTACCCAAACTTTTCTGATCTACTTCAATATCTACCGAGTAGTATCGAGCTTAGATGTTCCTCCTGAACTTTTTTCGTGTATCCAAATTTTTAAGAGAAGGTGTGGGAGTAATCTCTAACAAGCCGACAACGAGGTCGGAACGGCAAAGGGCGCCATTCGAGGCCTGCGGCGGTAGACCAGCCCCCTGCCGGGAGTATGAATAATAATAGTTGTACTTTTCAGTAAACCCAATTCCACGCTGCGAGCTCGTGCAGGAAACCCACCGAATCTTCCCGGAAAAATCGCGATCAAGTCGTTTTGTTGTATCAAAAATCCTGCAACTCTGAGCCCCAACCTCGTCCTTTATGCTCCCTCATTTTATATCAACCGCGGAAAAGTGTCTCGTTTTCTAAAAGATCTCAATTCTTCGCTCCTTTGACGTAAGGGCGTATCTCGATTTTTGCATGAGCCCCAAAAAGCATAGATTTATATATGTAAAATAGGACTCACTTTGAAATTGAGATACGCCCTTACATCCAGGAAACGACGAATTGCGTGGCAGTGGCGCGGCGTGAATGATCAATTATCGGTATTTCCCCGTTTGAAGCTGTGCTAAGGAATCGATTATTAAGGATTTCATTTGGAACACCCTGTTGTGTCACCTGTTTTTCGATCCTTTTCCATAGGTGTTAATGGCAGATCAATCGATATATCGGAAAGCACGCCACGCTACTGCGCGGACTGGTTTTTCCTTGGACTAAAATTTTATGTTTTGTTGTTATATGATATGTCTGGTTTTGGATATGCAAAATTAGAACTGGTCAGTAGCGATTTTTTTTAAAATGATTTTTGTTTAAAAAAGTATTTCTTTAAAAAAATAGTTTTCTTTAAATTCTTTTTTCGAAGATGATTTTTTTAAAAAGATGTTTTTTTTTTCATTTGTCTAGATAGAATATTTGTTTACATTACCACTGATCAAGCCAAGATATCGAGGAAGACGAATTTTCCTGCCTTACCTGAAACACAGCAAGAAAGAATCCAATCAACAAAAGTACAGACGAGAAATGCGAGTATTTTGACTTTCCGTCCATAAGACCGAAATTTTAGGTGATTTGGACTGATAACTTTGAAATACCATGTAAATCTATGCTTTTTTCTCCGTGCAATGTAAAACTTTCTTTATGTGCTCCAATAAGACTAGTGCGTGCCTGCAAAGGTTAAGTTCTGAATAAGAATAAAGGTATCACTCTAGATACATAGCTTTCATGATGTTTTGATCACCTCGTGCTTTATCCGAACTGCATTAGACGGATACAGCGAGGAATCTTCTCAAAATCTGACAACATCGTCAAGCGCATTGGGGCTGTGAGCGCCTGCGCAAACGTTGGTTGTAAATTATAAATTAAAGACTCTCATCGACAAATTGTTCGCTTGCAACGCATAATTATTGCCCTTTCCTTCGACCCTGCCTCACTCAAAAACGGTCGGGTGTAAAAATGCCCCATCCGCCAGATTTTGGTGATCCTGTTATTATGTTTTATTGGTCTCTGATCGTTTTGTCGGGTGAACTGTGCTTGTTTATCTTTCAAAAATCAAAATTCTGCATCTCGATCATAAGTTACACACCGCGATTTTTCAATAGTTTTGAGCTATTTTTCTCCAACAGTCTTAAAGAATCCTCGCACCTTTCTTTATACAGACTTAGTCCTACTACAGCGAGTCTTTCAGGAAGATGGTCCATTAATCCAGTTATGGTGTTACGAGATTTTTTCGGCGGCCTCTGATAGAGAAATAAAGTCAATTTTTTCCTTCTGTAAAAAGGAAGAAGAGGATTTTTTCCTTCTATAAGAAAGTTCTATCTTCGATTTTTAAAAGAGTTTAACTTAAACAGAAAAATAAGTGTCCCTCTATACCACCTTGGTCTCCTTTGACTCTGGCGTTGTCCATCAATTTCAAAATTCGGCCCGCTGGATCTGAAACTTTAGTTTTCCACATGAATCGAAGATTTTTCTGTGAGGAGGAGCCAAAAACTGCGGTAACATAATTTAACATCCCGATGGTAGCCGTATGGCAACGCGGCCCTGGGGCAGTTTTCAGCGGACACGTTTTCGTAATGACACGACCCAAGTTGGCGCGTCGTCGAAATGGACGTTATTAATCACGGCTGACCACCATCGGTACCACCGGCGCAGCATCCATCGCTGAGTCCGCACTCGGCCTGGGTAAATATTCTCATCGCCATGAAAAAACTCCTCATTATTCGCTTCAAATTGGACCTAATTCCTCCTGGACCCACGGCTTTCGCGCCTCTCCTTGTGCCTGCACCTCTTTCTTATCTCTGGATCCTGTGTTAATAGGTCGAACCCGCTTCTCAAGTCCTAACTATCAATCACTGATGAAAATCTCGCAGAATGATGTCACGGATTTTAAAAAAAGAAGGAGGAAAAAAAAGTTTTTCGTTACGACGAAACGTAACTCCATTCCAAGGTCGCTAAATTGATTAAAACAATTCAATTTTTACAATAATATTCCTATGTAATTTTTGTCCAAACTTTTTCTGATTCTTACACGAGATTAGAAGAAAAATCTGGGAAAGTTTCAGTTTCAAATGTCCAAGATTTCCTTGAAAAAAAAAAAAAAATGCGAGAAAAAATTTGGCAACAGTGAAATGTAGTTACCATTTTTCGTGAGGAGAACAACGAGTTGTAAAAGAGTCACTTACGTTATCCTAACGAGATCATTGGAATCGAATTTTTAAATACAATTCTCATTTTTTTTGGCTCGGAATGATATAAAATGATCTGAAAGTTCTCAAAATAGATCCAATTTTTAATTTTAGTCGATATTTTATCTCATCGGGAAACGAAGATAAGATTTAGGGAAAAGAACTGATGTCAAGGATGTAAAACGGTTCCGAAAGGGTCACATTTTATGCTATCTAAACGATCTGATCAGAATCGGGAAAAAACTCGATCCTCAAGTTTTTCTCGGAAACTATTTGCTTCAACGGCAGTTCTCACAACAATAGACCTCAGTTAGATTTGATTCGGATAGGCAACTAAACAAACTCTCAAGCGAAGTGGAGAGTATCACCCAGATTTGAAGGCGCTCTACAACGAGATCTTGGCTTTAACGTTCTTCACCAGTAAAAATATTAGCATGTCGATGCGAATTACTGCAATTTGATGAGTTAACATGGAAGTCACTTAAAAGATGACGGCGATTACTAACTGCCTACGACAGATGTAGACTGTTTCAAGGGGTAAAATTGTGAGAAAAAAAACCTACAACCCTAGCGTTACGTTCATTGAGGATGGTCCCTCAAGGGCTACTAAACTACAAAACGCTAAATTTGCGATTTTTTGACACCTCTCCACCCCTTGTAACGCTCCGTAACGCTGTCTAAGACCCTCTCCCTAAAAAAATAATTTAAATATCATCTTACATTTACTGAACGGGTTGACATTTCTATTTAGTGAGGAAAAGTGAAAGTAATGCGGATAAGTTTTTCGAAACTTTTTTGAAACTTCTAAAAGCGACCGGCGAATAATCCTACAGAGACTCGAAAAAAATCACTTAAGCTCTTTACGCAACGCTTCGCTCTATTCCGCCCATCTCCCTCACGGAAAAAATTAAATTGCTGATTTAACGATTCAATTGCTAAAAAAAGTGACTGCAATATTTCAATGTAGATTTCACAACAAAAAAATGCTACTTTAACCACTATTGTAAGCTAATTTAACCACGGGAGTGGGCAAGGTAGCATTTTTTTGTTGTAAAATCTACATTGAAACATTGCAGTCACCTTTTTTAGCAATTGAATTGTTAAATCAGCAATTTAATTTTTACTGTGCTGTAACGCCGCGTAACGCTGGCAAACGACCCCCCCTCCCCCCTTTCATCATTAGGTAATTTAGGGTTGGCCGCTCTTTCAGGGCACATGTGATCCATATCGAAGAGGGATGAGATAGCTCGGGGCATCGAATTCACACCCCC